ACTATATATAATATACATATACATGTCGGATATATTTATAAATCACCCCTTATATATAATATAGTATATATATATACCCGCACACGGGCAGACAGGTAGATACATATTAATTTCAGTCGGCTGCGATGTAACTGGATACCGATTGAAATGCGATGCGCGAGTCGGGGCGTGCTCCGCCACCGCCGTATAGTCGCGTGTCCCGTGATTATTTTTGACTGCTGTAAACCGGGAACAATGCGCGGGGGAGATTTCGTGTATAATCCGCCGTGAACTCGAAACAATTCCAATATAATATTATAGCGATGCAGAGCAACGGCAGGTGAAGTGGCCCAATAAAACGGTTCAAACGACTCTAATCTTCCTTGCCCCGCGATGCGGAAACAAAAGGTCGGACACGTCACGTATATATATATATATATATAAATAAATAAAATGCAGCGCATCTAATCTACGTATTTATATGGGTCGTGGATATGACTGCTCCAAACAAGCAAAACTAGTTTGACGGATATCGTATATTATTATTATTGTATAGGTTTACATGATTGGATGTTAAAAATAGTATATACTATATTTTAATTTGTCAATAATAAGTAGTTTTAATACGCGATGAAGTGCTGTTTTGTAATATAATTATATTATACAAAATATTATGTAATAATGTAGTTAATAGGACCGGTATTTCAATGCAGTGTTATATTTTGGGGTGCTCTAAACGTAAGTGCATCTTATGTACATCAAGCATGTCTCAGTCAAGCAATCTCAAGCATGATTCGTATCGTGCATATAAAAAATAAAAAATATTATGGGTACTTCAAATGTGAAACTTTTTTTTTTTCAACAGTTTTAGCATTTTTAAAATTGTTAGTACCTACATATTAAGACATAGTGCAAGCTTTTACTGTGAATTAGAATATTGAAGATATTATATCAAGAAATGTTGTTTTATAATCATTTTTTAGGTAATTTTCATCTACATCAAATATCAATCGTTCTATTTATGAATACAATAACGTCTTTTTTTATTTATCTACAGAAATTATAAGATGTGCCGCCTTACCGGACTTAAACAACATTAATAATTAATTGGTCGGTTGAAGTTACATTGCAATCTTATTTATTTCAAGTATACTGCTTATTTATTGCGATTGCCCAAGTTTGGTACTTTTTGTTATATTGTTAGTTTGGATCAGATTAAAAAGTTCAGAATTTAGAAAATTCTGGAAGTTTAACTGTCGTAAGTCGTTGTCCTTTCACTTGTATGCATATCAAATAAAATCTTCTATTTAGGTCGTGATGTTTTAAGGTTATAATTGCTTTAAAAAGTCATGAATAATAGCCCACCGATCAGTCTATGTCATCATAAGACCAACTGAAAAAATAGGGAGCATGAGGATTCTCAGTTTTTCATTGAAATTGCGCCCCTGTTATTATAGAAATACGCATTTCAGTTTATCCAGCTTATTTTCATGATTAATGCCAACACGACATGTTGAAACGGATTTTTGATAAGAAAAACCAATAAGTGGGTACCTATAATTATTGTAAACAAAAATAAATTTATAATAGATTGAGGCCAGTTGAAACCGTTTTATGGCTCGTATCGTGGACCCTGATAATAACATAAAAACTTCATAACTCCCCACTAATATGAATACATGATGTCATTATTTACTCGACGAACCACCCTGTATACATTATTTGAACGTTAAATAAACATCATAGTATAAATATCATAATATACAATAAATAGTTGAAATTCGTTTTTTTTTTATTATTTCCATGTAGATTTGGCAGTTTTAACTCCAACTATATGGTTGAATGGGTTTATTGAAAACGCGAGCCCCCTTGAAAAATTTTTAACATAACAGTGCCACTCGAAAGTCCATTTCTATGTCACCACAATGCATTCCGTTCGTCGATTAGTGATATTGCACCAGGTATTTTTTTTATTATTATCGTTTTGTAGTTCTAACAATAATAATTACACGTCCGGAGGAGAAAATGTATTATTCGAGGGGGGTATTTTGGAGTAGGTACTCTTAAAAACAACGTTCCTTATGCCCCCCATCCGTGATGTAACGGAGTTTTTCTAAAAAATGTACATGCTCGACATTCAAAACAATGGGCTCTCAAATTCTCCCCCCACCTATAAATTATAATACATCGGCATTAAGAAATGATTCTGAATGGAATTCATATACCTACTGAGGAATAAATCATGATGTTTTGTGATAAAAATCTTGAATATGAAAAAAAAGATTGACTTAAGGTTTATATTCTTTATAATGTATGGGTAGTTGAATTTAAGCGAGCATACTACTTGCGTTCCAAATTATTATTAGTAGGTGAGTATAAGTTATTCACAGCTAGTATACTATATATCATCAAATGTGAAAAGAACAGAAAGTTATAATTATTTTTAAATTATTTTTTTAACGCACAATAACTATATTATATAATGATATGTTTATTATTTGTGTAAATAATATTTATCGTACTGAAATAGCTTAATTAATATAATAATATGGTAACATTACTATGAACTATAAATCAAAATAGTATTTAAAATTAAGTAATTAAAAATGTTTTTGTTCACAAAAAAACTTGCTTTAAACATGCTTTAAACAAAGTGGGGAAGTCACTGTAAATATGTATAGGTTTTAAGTGTATACCTAATATACTGTGTTAATTTGAATTCAACATTAAAACATTGGCCATTGCATATATGTATAAACGATAAATTATCCTGAGAAAAAACTGTGTGGGTGAATGTAATTTGCTCCAAAACAAAAAAATTTAATTTGAACGATTTTTTAAGCTTTTAAATTCTTGCCATTTAATACCTAATCCGCCCATAGGTAATTATGTCGAAGAAATACAAAGAACTCAACAATTTTAATTTGAAAAAACAAAACACAAACAAAATATAATATAACCAAGCTGGATAAAATGTCTATAAAATATTAACAAAAGTCGAAAATTCTCGTTGTGCGTGTTTTGCCGTTTGTCCATACCATAAATAAGGTAAAAGGGCATTATGTAATCTGCACAATCTTCAAAAAATATTTTACATATTTTCTGTACACAATTATAAAATAAATTATAAAAGTCCTAACGTGCTCGATTTAAAATTACTTCTATATGTATAAGTTCTATTCAAGTTCTAAATTAAATTTAATAAAATAAAACGTACTATAATTTAATGTTTTAATATGGGTGGGTATAAGTGGTAATTTAGTAATATAACATTTCACATTGTAGAATTACGAGTATGTATATGTACTGAAATACTGTATCTGCGCATTAGATTCGTAACCGGCAGGTAATACATAGAATTAATTAGTAAAGCTATGAAATAATTATTGTATTTACAACATTACATAATATTTTATATGTATAGGTTGAACTCATTGAAGTGTATTACCTTAAATCTAATGGTGTGTATTGTGTACTTAGTACAGTTGTATCTATATATGGCTATGTATCATTGAAAAATAGATATATAAAATAGGTATGTATAATATATTATTATATTAAAATCAGTAATTTGCGTCATAGATATAGACATATGATTACTGTAGTGAGGTATGAATATGTAATTTTAATTGTTGTTGTTGAAACTTGAAATCCGCTTTGATGTTTATCAAGCACCGTTCAGAAATATTTTTTATACAAATCATCCTGTTGCAAAACAACGTAATTTGGATGTAAATCGGAACTTCCGTCCCATATAGATACCCTGCGGCGCACTTCTGCGTGATTTAGGTATAATATATATCATGACATAATAATATACGAGTCGTACGCCTACGAGTATATATAAGTACCTATACGCACATCACATCGACGAGGCGGCTTTCGGTTAACCGATTTTGGATTCTTCATTCTCATATATATATATTTATGTATATAGTTGAAGAAAGTGCAGTAAGCGTCGTATATATGGTGGAGGCGATACGATGCACTTGGCTAAGTCAAATGGTGTTGTCTTTCGTGGCGATAAGTACCTCTCGCCAGTACTCGTTTTGCGTGTAATTGATTACGCTACTTTGAGATGATGATGCTTCTAGCGCGCACGAGAGCCCCCCCCCCACCCTAACTACTGCTATAAAACCCTACTTTTCCCATCGGCCCAGAGTGCCATATCAAAACCAATCCTGTGCCCTTCGAGTATTTATTTTATACATAGGACTGTTATGCCGAGTATGTATACCACGCACCTATATAGATGTATAATATATACATATAAAGGTTTATACACTACCGGAAATATCGCTATTTTTATTGCACCCGGTAACTGTTTTTATCTCCGACCCCCACCCACCCCTTCCAAATCGCTACCGATTGTTATCTACGATTTTTACCCTCTGTATACGTATACGCGCGCTGCAGTGTAAAACTTTTTTCTTTTCTCTCTTTTTTCTCTCTTTCATTTTTTTCATCACAACCTTTCGCATTGTGTCGGCACAGGTACCGCAGCTATTGGTCGCCGTCGGCCACGCCTCCACGCGGTTCCGTCCCACGGCCGGTTGGGTTGCGCGGGGCCGAGGGGTTCCGCCACTCGAGTGCGGCCCTCGAGTCCTCTCGTCGACGTCGAGTAGTCCAGTTTCGAGTGACACTAGTTTCGGGTGGTGCTCCACACACGAGAGCCTCAGAGTTTATTTATTTTGCGCTATTATTATTATTGTTTTTCCTTTTTTTCTCGGCCTCGCCACCACACACGCGGATCGCGTTGAAAAAAATTCGGAAAAACCCGTTCCCCGCGATGACGTGATAGTGCAGTCACCGATTCCGCATTCCACCGGCGTCGAAAAATAAAAAATAACGGCGAAAAAAATTCGGTGCGATCGCGGCCGCACTGTTTTTCCGGGTAAAAATTTTTCGGACAAACCGCGAAAGTGGCTCTCTCGGTGACGGCCGCTTCGTCGGCGGCATCAGCCGTGTTCTCCGAGAGCTCGGGCGACCTGCTGCCGGAGCTCAACAGCGCTGACCTAGCAATGTCGCTGAGCCCCAAACCGCACCACCACCATCATCACAACCATCACGCCGCGCATACGACACCGTTCTCCGTTACCGACATACTCAGCCCAATCGAGGAGTACCGTAAGCTCGAGCTGTGCGGCTCGCCTTCTCCGTACCACAGGTCCAGCACGGCCGGTAGCACCGGCGGCAGTGCCTCCGGAAGCCCAGGAGCCATGTCCGGCGGTGGAGGTAACAACAACAACAACAACAATAACGTCCCTGGAGCGGTCCCGGCCGCAGCCAGCTGGCACGTGCACCCGCAATTCCCGGCGCCGCCGCCGCCGCCACCTCAATATTGTCAGCCGGACATGGTCACGTCGTACGGGAATTCGGCCACGTGGTACGGGGCACCAGCCAACGACCCACGGTTTGCAAGTAAGTTCATATTAAATAATAATATAACAAACATGTATTTATAAATCATATTATTAATAACCGACGATTGATCGATGCTACAGAGGCTTCTATTATTTAAGTTCAAATATTTTCTTTTACCCTATTGACATTAAATGTTATTTCTAAAAGCATATGAAAATTAAATAAATATTTCACAGTCATATTTCAAATTTACTTCTCCATAACACCAACAGATTTTTGTGCATCCATATTGTTACTTTGTTAGAGACTATAGACGACATGCAACATAGGTACAACTATATATATATAAATATATATTTAATATGCAATAATAAGAGACGATTTTAAGGCTTTTTATGCTGTCAATGAGTATTTGAAATCAAAAACAAAAATTGTCGGTAATACAAAAGTATAGATGATACATCAGTCCTGTATATAAATGTGTTACTAAAACTCTTCAATATTAAAACATATCCATTATTATAAGTATTTAATATTATTTTTGGAGTTCAAGGAGTACTACAATTATATATATATATATATTTATTGATGGATTTACCTAAAGCTATTATAAATATTAGGTAATTTTATAATTTTTTTGTTTTGTGATTAAGATCTATTTTTTTTTACCATTTAATGGTAATTGAGACCCGATAACTAAATTGTTAAAGTTCAACAACATAATATACCTACTTATAGTTTTATGAAATAATAATAAAACGATCAATTTACCAACTATTTCTCATTTTAAATTACGTTTATTATATGTAGCTCATTGTTATTACTAAGAATAAGATTTTATAACACTTAAAAATGCATAAAAATTAGCTATAATATTTCTTTAAATATTAAAAAAAATTGACAAATTATGCAAACAATATATTTATTGTATTACGTTAGTTATTTTATTTATTCAAATATTCAGATACAATAGATAAATTATTACTTAAGGGCTAAGCAGTTATAATATGTGTCTTGGTTGAAAATATTAGCTATAAGTCCTAACATATTATTCCTTGGCACCTTATTAAATATTTTTATGTATTCATATTGGACATATTATAGCAACAAGTCAACAAACATGCAAATAAAATGTTCAATAATCATGAATTATGCCCATTTATTACGGTATTAATGGATATAAAATTTAAATTTTGTTCTTAAACATGACATCGTATAGCGATTTGGAATTTGGTTTAAATAACTAAATTGTATATTACATATTTGCTTATCCCCAAGTCTCGAGAAATCATCTTAACGTTAACCCACAACATGGTAAATATGTAGAAAGTTTTTAGACCTGTAAATTATAATTATTATTAATAAGTTACCTATATTACTCATTAATCATTATTCACTAGTAGATACATAATATTTATAACTGCAGCAATGGATTATTTGAAGTTTAAAATAATATGTGCAAATATGATAAACATGTTTTCTATATAAAAAAATAAAAACACAGTAATGGTAATATATTAGTTACGTTAAAAATGTTTTCAAAAAAATGTGTTTTTTCTAATTTTGTTTTATGTCAAAGCTTTAAAGTATAATATACCAATGTAGACTCTTAAATAAATTTGACAATATAAAGTATAAATTAAATTAATAATGTATTTACACATTTTTATTCCAAATTAGACCTATAGAGATTTATTATCGTTAATCGAAGGATGTTTATGTTTTTTCACACAAACATGCCCAAGCGACCGTAAAATACGCTGGGGGTGTGCATTCAGGGTGTCATATTGGATTAGACCGGGATCCGTTTATACGAGAACCCCCTTTTCCGCCAAACATTTGCCGCGGGATGTACACTATCTAACCGGTTATTACAACAGTCGTTATAATGTCATTATCCCTCTTTTTATTATAAACCAACTACAAGAACAGCCCCACCACGCTTAATCGGTCTTGATCTACTGCCTTAAGCTTTTTATGGGCGGCCCTTGTATATACATTCTATAAACTCGCTAACCTATGCAGTGATGATTAAAATAGTATAGGATAAATCATCTGCCTAATATAGTATCTGGTGCATGTGTTTAATACTTATATAGTTATATGTTTATTATATTAGTATCCATCGATCCGTAGGAACTTATATTTTTTTTATAGAATACCCAATTTTTAACGGTAGGATTTTATACATTTTGGAAAAGAATGGATGAAGGATTGATATCAAAGGCTAAGATTTACTTCAGATGTAAAAACTATAACTAACATTATACCTATTAAAATTAATTTATAAAGAATTAATTCTTCTTCATTAACTTCTATTAAAAACTGTTTAATATTGGCTATGCATGATTTAAATACAGTAAAATTTTTTTGCATTATTCATCATGTTACATATTTAAATAATTAATTAGGTAGGTGCCTATCTTATTTTTGTATAAATCTATATGAAATCAACCAAACATATTTTTTTAAATAATTTAAAATTAAAATGAACATTTTGTTACCTACAAAAATGAAAATAATTTCACCTGCATACTTTTTTAATACTTCCGATTAATTACTTTCAAATATATGTCCATAAATATGTATCCATGTAGTATGGCTATCTGCTAGTAGATTACCGAGAGTCTTAGTATATTACTTAATGTCCAAGAATAATTGTACTAAAATATTATAAATAATTCTTAAAATACTGAAATTCGAGTACTTACGTGTATATTTATTAGCGTTAGTTCTATCATCGTTTGGTACTCCTTTATTCCTTTGTAGAATATACTATTTAATATTAATATAATGTAGAAATTAACTATACCTAGCTTCTATTCACAGATTGTATTAATCAATATTTAATAATTAGGTTTAAAAATTATTTTAAATGTTTATAAATTCATTCTAATATTTAATTAATGTTTTTAAAATCAAACAAAATTATATGATTATAAATGCATTAATTTTAAATTCAATAAACAAGTATAGGTGAACAAAAAATCAAATATTTTAAATCTTGTAGTATTGTTTTCTTAAACCATAATGAAATTTCTTTGTAATAAAAAATGTCTATCCAAACAATAAAATCGTGTTTTAAATGTGTGTTTTGTGCGTTTAGACATGAGAGAATATTCTAACAAGGCTATAAATCGAACGTCTAAAATAATACTATGACCTCCATATCATACGAGTAACAATAAAATCGATTGGTATAGTCATAATAATGTATATAGAGGTAGGGAAACCAACTACGTCTGTTGGACGTTACCAAGCACATTTTGTATTTGTGTTTTCCAATGATGTCCATCATATATATTATAATATTATGAATGAACCGTGCCTAAGCACGTTATACACGGACTATTGTGCGTCTCGTTTATTCCGTTCAGCATTAAAATAATATTTGTCACCCTGTATATAGCTTGTGCAGTGTTTGCCTAAGAAATATTTCCAAGGCCTGCTGGACCTGTATAATACCGACCGGCTACTGATGTTTGGCAAATACAAATACGGCGACCGAAACGAATTCCATTCGGGAACGAGTGATGACGACTGCATAAAAGGGGTGGGGGGGGAGACTCATTAAAAATTTTTATACTCCGTGGCTTCGGAAACTTATAAAAACATTGACGTAGTTTTGGTTTTGACAAACAGGTAAAAATATACGCTTCCCGGACGCGCACGCCTGACAATGCGCTTGTTATTGGTTTATTTCAATCGTACATAAACGAACCCTCTCCCTCGTCCGATAGCAATCAAGCTATCAAAATATTATCTTTTCTACCGGGGTTTTTTTTTTTGCTCTCGCTCCTCCTGGACGAGGGACACCCACGATGCTACAGTGATGTAGTAGAATGTTAAGATCACTGCAGCAGGTATACATCTGATGTATAATGCGTTTTAAAAAGAACCTTTCAACGCGTTAGTTCGTGTACACAATAAAATAATAATAATAATATAATAGCCGCATTTCCCGATTTGTCGACCAGATAATAATTTTCGTTCATTCAAAAATCGGTGGCAATATACGCACGTGAAACGCCCACTCGAAAGGTGCCGGATGAGTCAATCGCGGACGAAAAATGCAATACCCGTCCGGATATCCTTTATTCGATCGCGAATCTTATATTATGTTGTATAATGTGGTTTCACGCGCATTGTAAATACTAAATAGGTTTTCAATATCGAACAACGGTTGTTAACGCGTGTCTCTTGTGGTATAGGTATATGCATATATCATATGATAATATAATATATAATATATACCATACGTCTATAGATACCATACCGTACATATTATTACTATGCCATGTTGCCGAACCGATGGAAAAGGAAATGCGGAATTATTGATGTGGGCCATGTACGAAGGGGCGGCCATTAAAATAAATTGTGCTCGTCAAGGTCTGTCAAACCCGACCATATTGTTTTTTTTTTATAAGTATAAAACGTAGAACGGAACTCGTGGGATAATTGTACATTTTTCTTTAGGTTTTAATGTTTTTCTTAATACCGAAATCAGACAGAAAATAACGTGAGAAATCATGGTTTGTGAATAGGTATTATTTATGTTATATAACGGTAACACATTTTGTACCTACCTATGTGTAACAAAAGTGGTAATTTTTTTTATAGACGCACATAATAGTTAGTTTAATTTAAAAAAAAATATTGAACTCATTTAATTTTAAATCCAAATGTATGTAAATGAAATATTTGTTTTGTTATAAATTAGTGCAAGGGATGTCTTGACACTAAACGAATATTATAATATTTCATACAATTTTGTATCTTATAGTATAGGAACCTATATAATATAAATAAGTCAAATATAGTTTCAAAAGACAACGAGTCTATTTTCATAATATCGATATTTTTTATAGTTGTAATATTAGTTTGTTATCTCTTTTACTGTAAACGTTTTAAGGAAATATAATACCCTATTAAATTGTAAATGTAAAAACGAAACGTATACTTGCATAATATAAGGTGGAATTATAGATATAACCATGTTAATTATTAATTTATTATGGTCATACTACTTTTTGTAACCGTCGCGCGTTGGTCGACAAAAATATTGTTATAATTATTAAATAATAGAAAAATATTATCATTTATTCTTATGTATAAAGAAGAAATAAGTTATGAATGGTTGAATAATTTTGTAAAGAATAATTTTTCAATAAGATAATTTGTAAATGGTCTAGCGGTCTAAACCTAAAGAATAATATTGATAGTTACAAGAAGTAGGTATATTTATTATCTTTTGAACTTTTAAACTGTTCTTCAAACTTTTCTAAGTATGAATCCCAATAGTAAACATTAAAACATATTTTAAGCATTGGAAATATTAAAACGATAATCTTACAAGTTTCTCGGAATAACAACAAATTTAAACACTTACTTAAGTATACTCGAGTAAGTATAATATACAGATTTATTATTGTCTGCTGACTATTAACGCTGTAAACAATTTAAAAATTAACTTTAAAATAATTTTTAATAGGTAACTAATTAATTACTAAATCGTTAATTATATTGAATAATATTGCATTAGACTTGAACATTTTGTTGAGCTCGTACCTATTTATAGTAATATATAATTAGCAACTTATGTGAAAATGTTTTGAATACATTAACAATTTGTTTCAAAAATACTCAAATAGGAAAAATTTCAAAAGTCATTTTATTGTCCTTTAGTTCTCCAAATTAGTATATTAAATCCAATTGTCCAATTTGAAATTAAAACATCTAATAAGTGATTAACACAAAATGTAAAATTAATGTCATGTTTATTTACAAATGGGTTAATAATAATACTATACAACAAAATGATTTATAATAAATAACTACCTATGCAATATTGAATATGTTTACGTATTATTTAAATTTCAATGTGGCTTTAAAAATTAATTATTAAAATCTTAATTAAAAACTCATAGGTATTATTTCGTATTGTATAATATTGTAAATCTTTTGAAATCAAACGATTTCGTAATTTTATTAGATAGTTATAGGTAGTATTATTCATAATTAAGCTTTGGGGCATTTGTACAAATTATACTTTATACCATTATTCAATATTTGTATCCCTACAAGTAGATTTTAATTTCAACACATTATACAGTAGGTATACGTAGGATTATAATAATATCGCACGAAAAAGCAATATCACTCATGTGGCTGCAGACAAAAAAAGGTTCGGGCATTAGTTACCATGAAGCCTTATACGGTTATTACGAAAGTGAAAAAATGTCATATGGACATAATATGGTATTTGCTAGCCCCACGTTAACTTATAATATTGTAACTATTAATCCATACCAACTACTTTGGATACGACCTATATATGCGTAAATTTATTTCTAAGTTTATATCGATTATACATTTTTACATATATTCTTTGATTATTTTTTAGGTAGGTATAACTTGTTTTCAGTGTACATGATTAATATATTAAATTATATTATACTTATGGGCGAACATTTATAAATACATGATCATATATTATAATAAATACAACGTGCAATTACAGACGTACATTATACTATACACACTGCAGCGCACTCACACATTTCTGTTCTTATACCGACACGTGTCTTCGAATATATTATTGTTATATGTACAGGGTGTTTATCGATTCCTTAACCCCCTCCCCCTTCGTTTACCGAAAACCTGTCAAAAATCGTCTCTGGATAATGCGCGCACAAAAAGCTCGGAACCCATATCGCACGCTCCATTTGTAGTTGACAAGGCGCGGCTATAATATATATAGTGTTTGCTTTGTGACTGGCATGAACAATGTGCTTGTGTGTGTGTGTGTGTGTGTGTGTGTGTGTGTGTGTGTGTGTGTGTGTGTGTGTGTATGTCAGTGCGTGTGGTGGCTGGGAGGGTACATTAATATATATCGCCTGCTATATATATACGAGCGTACGTCCTGTCATCAAAATAATAATTGGAACCTACAGTACTTGATCAACACTATATTTCGTATACGCTTCGCCGTAATGCAGACGTGCAGTTGCAGTGTAAATTTATTGTACATCATTATTTATTATTATTATACTGAATTAATTTATAAAATAATAATATGATTATAATATACATCTTACTATATTATATGGGCTTATTAAATATTATTTGTAGGTAACTAATATACAATATTGTACTCCCCGATAATTTATAAGCCTACACCTACGTGAAACATATTTTACAGCGTAGGTCAGTGCGAGCAGTTTATAGACTGGTTTATTTATGAATCGTGAGTTTTATACAATATTATTATCATCTTATGTTCTAGCTTCTAGATGATTAGGTACATTTTAAAGTTATAAATTGTCCAATATTATTTTAATAAATAAATATGAATAAGTTTTTATATCATGACATAATATAATATTAAGTATACATAAATATAGTGGCGTAGAGGGGGAAGGATTAATATTATGCCATATATAAGACTAAATGTCAAAACATTTTTGCTTATGTTGTACAAGAAACATATTGAAGTACTCTTTAAAATGTATTTTTGAATCTTTAATAATTTTCTTACATATTATCATGTTTCTATTGAATAAAGTTCTAAATAGCCTGAAATTCGAACATACATTGTGGTGCAATCGTGAACGATTGAGGTAAGGAAATAGCATACCCATATTAAAATCAATACCTACCAAGTATTTTTTTAATGAGATGATAATACGTATCAATGCGATCAATAAAAGTACCCAAATAATCAACAAATTTACTTATTACTTATTTACTTACAATCAATACAATAAATGTCAGTAATCCATGTAGAAAATGTATAAAAAGTGAGTCAAGTCTCACGTAGATAAAAAGGTATTCGCTTGTTCAAATATACATATATATATATATTATACTATATTATATTATAAAATATTCATGAGTCAATAAACGAGCATCTTACAAGGTGGTTTAAAGGGGTGTTGCAGGGATTATTCGCCAGACCCTTACATATTTATATTATAGAGGTATAGACGTAATGAATTCCCAATGAGCGCTGTTTTTAGGCTGGAAAGTCGTTGACCTTTATTATACCATGCCAAAAATTCAAATTTAACAACGATCGTGTATTATTGCAGTATCCAGATTGATGGGCTCGTCAAACACCCCGATGAATGGTATGACAAACATGGAATGCGATATCAAACCACCTCTACAGTTTCCACTTACCCAGAGACGAAAGCGGAGAGTGCTGTTCACTCAGGCTCAAGTACGTAAAACTATATATATATATAATATGATGTTATTCTATATAGGTAAAATCGTGTAATTTTGAATACGTTTCAATTCTTTATGTTTTTTTATTTTTACGGATTCTAATTTTAACAAGTGTAGGGGAATTATAAGACTTTTTATTAGGAAACATTTTAATATTTAATTTTGTTTTAACTTTTATACATATCAATTATCATTATGTAAGAATCATACAATGAATATTAGATAAGTAAATAAATGTGTCTGTGAGTTTATAGTTGTATACAACTATAAAAAGCCAATATAATATACAATCGACAACTTTATAATATTATTTTTTCAATTTGAGCTCCATTTATTTTTTATATAAATTTGTATATGAAGTCGTACTTTAGAAAATAAAACATTTATCTAACATTCCGCCCTGTATAAAGTGTATTATGCTTTTATTTTTTTTAGTTTGCATTCTTATATATCAGTGCATGTATATTATATTATATGATCTTTATTTACGTGCGAGAACCTATTCTGAAACCCAAAACTATATTTACTATTCAAGTTCATAGATGTTTACAGCGCACTTAAACTGTCTCAAAATCCACATTTCTTGTATAAATGTAAACACAATCAGGCGTCACGTCAAATCCACGAAGGCATCGTTTTGACACGAACACATCCATCCCATTTGTACATTGTCCAAATATTCTTCCCCTTAAGGCTTTGGCTTGTGTATTTATTTCCTTTCCAAAATCGATGTCTTATCCTATACATCCTCTACCTTGGATGAAATAACCAATATTATAGTTATTGTATTACTTTTACAGGTTTATGAACTAGAACGAAGGTTCAAACAACAAAAATATTTATCAGCACCCGAACGAGAACATTTGGCTAGTCTAATTCATTTAACTCCAACACAGGTAATTCATAAGTATATTTATATTATAATAAGGTATTATCTAAAATAATAAATAATGAAGAACAAATTATTTATAGGCCTATCATTTAACTGAATATAAGATTAAGTTATTCATTAAAAAAAACATCAAATTAGTCGAATGATAAAAATTAATAATTTATCATAATTTTAGTCTAAACGCGTTAAATTAAAACAAACGTTAAATTAAAAAATTATTAATATCATAATTTTACAGTATTCAATGATATTGTTTCTTTTCAAATGTATTTTGTTTCCATTGTGTACTTATGTATTAATGTGTTTTAGACTTGATACACATTTTTCTTTTTCGAACAACCTCTTATAGCGCATATTTGTGATAAAGTGATGAATTTCCATAGCATAATCCATAAAAGAATCTGTAAGGACTGATGACCCAATATACGATCTACTCCTGAAATGATAAAATGACATACCGTAATGGTTCAATAGTATAATTTATTACTATATATTCGTTTTTAGCTGTTTTTCACTTCGAAATTACATCCACGTATATTAGTACATTAGATATTGTCGATTCAATTTAAATTTATTTTTACGATTGACGCAGTCACAATAATGGTTTTATTCTGTTAGACGCTATTAGGTCATGTTTAGGTTCGATCAATAAATAACAATAGTCAATACAACAATAATTGCTTGTATACATTTTATACTTTATAGTTAACAGTATAACAAACTATACAGTGTGCATAAATACACAATAACTGGCATGTTGTAATTTGCGTACTACATGACTAAACTATATACGAATTAAATGTGTTGGCCGCAATATTGAAACATTTATTCAGGTTGTATAAAGTTACTCTTAAAATGTATTGTTATAGTATTCACAATTACACAGACATAATTTTGGGTATTAAAATAACTCCATAAGTGTCATAGAGCATTCTAGCACCTCTATGAAGTATGAACAGTTAATTTGACTTACCTCAATGGAACAATGAACAGATCATTTTTCGATTTCATCAGTAAAATAAAGTTTTTCTAAGTGAAAATAAAATAATTGTACAGATATCGAAAACTCGTATTCCTAGCAAGTGCGGACTTATCTTAAAAACGATGGATTATTTTTATTTAAGCACTCAATAAAAGAAAATGGGAACGTCTGATAAAATATTTCAAACGTCTTCTAAACTATTTAATATATTAAGTACTGCATTGGATGTCTCTATTGAACTTAGAATCGTTTAGATTAGACGTTGTCGTACTCTGCAGATGTATTTGACACAGTACACTATTATCCTTCTCTGACGTGAGCGAAGCTAGCTTATTATTATAGAATATAGACTTTAATTTTTAGATTATACATCATAATCGTCTATGTTTAAATCTGTATTTATCCTGTTCTGCTGTAATTTATTATCGTGTAATTATTACTTTAGTAGATATAGACGTATAATACCATCTCAAAATTATTTTTGGGATAATATAATGTGAAAAGAACAAAACAGGGTATAATATAGGAAATGGATTAGAGGTTCAAACCTTGTATGTGCAAGGTTATGGGTTGTATATAAATATATAATATATAATTTTAACATTTTAACAACTACAACATTTGATGCTTTTGGAGAGGGTCAATGAGTTTGATTAGAACATTTGTACATAAAATCGATGTAATAATTTTTTGACCCGTAGCAGGACATAATACAGTTAAAATATGTATAGTTAATAAATAATAATATTTCGCGAGTCACGACTCGTACTGTTTCAAATATCGATTCGTTACTTGATGTCTTATAATAACACGATGAATTGAAGTAGTGCGATTTCCTTGAATCGGCATTATAACAACTAAGGGCGGTAATAACACACCCCCACGTCTATACAAAATGGACTGTTGGCGTCCTCATAATATAGTCATATACGATATAGGTACCTATGTAATAATATACACTATACAGGATACACTTGCTGTTTATTTATTATTATACAATTATGGGTAGGTAGGTACGTCTAATAATTATAAGTTTGTGCGTTGTTTTGCATTTGCGTTCCTCTAGTAGATGGCCAAATGGAACGGATACACCAAGGCGTATCTAGGCTCTTTAATAAGATAATGTTTGTTCAATTTATTATTCGTTGCTCACGCCTCTCTGCAGATTCTGCAGCAAATAAAAATAAACTGTGTGCCATAACAAGGTGTATGACTGGTACATATCACGTGCAGCATACAGTGGTACATTTAGCGCATAATATTGTTCACACTATTCGCAGTACATAATAATATTATTTTCAAAATATAGGCAAAAATTTGATTCTTGTGGGTCGATATGCCGTGTTTTGGCACTATAATATCATGAACCTAACGCACACATATAGGCGCGTAATATAAGACTTCGTTGGGCGTCACGCGGTGAGATTATCGCGGATCAAGCGATGAACTACGCCCTATTGTAACCCGGCTTAAACGGTCGGGCTGCAGCGTGCGGTTAATGAGGCTTAAACATTTTCCGGGGTTACGCGTGCGTCGGTCCCGCCACCGCTCCGCCGCCACCGCAGCGATCTCTCGTCGCGCGCGTACATATTATTAAACAATCACGATGATGCAGGGGACCGCTTCAGCGCGTATTATTATTATTATCGTCTCTCTAGTCGAGCTGGTTTCCTCTGTGCGCCACCCGTCGCCGCCCCCATTCTGATCGTGTATATACCATCATCACCCACCACCACCACCACCACCGCCACCACCCATCGCCGAGACACCAGGCTTTTATGTATTTTTTTTTTATTTTTTACTGTACGCGGCTTAATCGTACATATCGGCGGTGGTCGCTAAAATGTATTATTATATAATATTATACACGTATACTCGCAAGCGCACGCACGCGCACCTTATATAGAATGGTGAGCGCGGTGGTGCCGCTGCTGCTGTAGTGCTGCAGTGTTGCGCAGGGGGGGCACAAAAGCGTATTCATCGTGAGCCCTCCGAAAAACGTACGTCTGAAGTGGCGAGAGTATGTATGCGCGGCACCACTCGAGATGATGATCGGTATATACCCGGTGCGCGGTGGCGGCACAGAACAATGGCCGACAGATTGTGCCTGGTATATACACGGTATACGCGCGGTATATACGGGGCCGCCGGGGCGCCAGATGTTACGGCAAAGACCCCGCGAGCCGTACATATATATATATGTATGTGTTATATTTTATATAATCGCAGCGACTACTGTTTAGGTTTTTGAGCGCCCGGGGGAGGGGGGGCAAATCGTGTTTTCGGCGTACGCGGGGCTTATATAATACGCTCGTCGACCCCCTACCCCCCGCTCTGCACAACGCGAAATGTCGGTCGAGAGCTGAGTCCCTACGACGATATAATAATAATATATTTTGTTGTGTTTATATTATACTATATTATTATTTTTATTATCATTATATTATATTATGCACCGGGACCGGGCACAAGCGTCAGCATATACGCATAATAAAATACATTATGTATTATTGTTATAGTATTATAGTTCGACCGATTTCCTATTTTCTTTTGGGATGATGTCTTTTTTTTGGTTCGGTAAGCACGAGGACGTCCTACGCCTATATGTGTATTCTGTGAACACACAGGTACAGTACCTATAGTCATCGCTTATTGGACTCACTCTGGAACCAGAGTACTTCAAGTATTTGAGTTCATTAACCGAATAGGGTGAAAATTTCAAGAACAAGATATTTGTAAAATAAATTGTTCAAAGACTTCAATACTTTTCGATGTGACGAATTGAGGAAAAAGTAATATTATTTATCAAAATTGGTGAAATAGAAATCGGGGTAATTGATACATTTAAAAATACACATTGGCCCCCATTAAAAAAGTGCGGAGTGAGTCAATTAGACTAATTTTTTTCCTGTGTGTTAGGAAATGTATAAATTGGGACCAGTTTGTTATTGTCCATTTATACTTTGTCCAATAAAAGGTGACTACCTACTGTACCTGCAAGCTATATGTATACTAGAATACTATAGATCACAATATAATATTGTATAATATATTATAATATGTTATGCTTACGTCACCTTAGAGTATGGGCTACCGACGACGGTGTAAACATATAACCTGTTATAGGTAGTCTCGTTATTTGTATAGGTACAATATACATATTACATATAGGCTGCCAGGCTGGTACTAGCTATATTATATTATTATGTGTCATAGATAGGTAATATATTATAGAACAGGCCTTGTCCTATATGTGTATACACCATGTAGATAGTATATTATGGTAAAATCCTAAAGATTTTTAAGCATCACGATCAATAATGATAATATGTTGATTTCGTATACCACACCTTATTCGATATCACTTAGATTTGGAGGGAGGAGCTATTTTATTATGATGAAATCCTATAAATGTGTTTCTTAAGGTGTATATTTTTACAACGTGTATCTGTTTTTGGAGGGACTTAACTCTCTAGCCACCATTATTTCTGTCTATTTTCTTAGCTCTTACATGGGGCAATAGAGGTGATTTTTAAGACCGGTACCTAAACATTTTTTGTTTTGATATTTTATAATTTGTAGAATGCATTCAATAATCATGATAAAATTGGAATTGCACAAAATATAATATACCCATCAATATACCATATACGTGCTTATTTTAATTTTATTCTAACTGCCCGTACATCTTGGAACTTGTAAGTCAACCGGTGCACACTAATGAGTATTTCTTGTTGGCTATTGCCCAATACAATTTTAGTTCTATGTAGGTACTAATTATACTACCCGTTGGCCGTTACTAGCGAATATAAGGACATAAATGATAATGTGATTTATTGCGTCCTAGACGATGACTGTCACTCGATAGTCGATGTTTCATAAACATTATTTAATTATATTAATCTTTATGGTTTTTGACTCGATTTTTTATAATTTTAGTGTATCGTCGTAGTGCGCAGTTAAATTATCGTGTCAATATTTTCCGAGTCATTTGTGGGTACACCGATTGTATATTTGTACAGTGCTTATACTACCTATATTTGCAGGTATACATTCTTGTAGGTGAAAGTGGTTTATAAGTTTTTGTTATGTTCGGTCAATACCAAGGTCATAAAATATGTATTGTTTTAAATATTCAAAATAATTAAAAATGTATCTTGATTTGAGTTCTTATCATTTACAAAAATTTTAATTAAATTAAGCGTTGAAGTATAGGTATGTAAAAGGTATATTTGTTGTCCCGATATAAATTACTAGTATTATAATAATTATACTTCTCAATAAAGTATAAAATATCAAAAGTGTTAGCGTAGGTACCAAAATATCAAAAGTGTTAGCGTATGTACCAAACTGATGATTAGATGCTTGGATATCCTTATAGGGAAATAATTGGTACATTATACCTACCACGCTCTTTCATATATTATAATACTATAATTGCGCTGTTTTTGTGGGTTTTAAAAACATAAAATCCATCGCATCGAGTGGTTTATAAATATGTCTATACACTTGAAATTATACAGCTGTTATACTTTTTATTATAATACAATATCATTACGGTTAGTCTTTGGTGAATATTATATAATTTACCTACGCTCAATTTGTATTACTATAATATCTCTAGTACGGCGGTAATTCACGCGTCAAGCACGTACCTATTGAAACAGTGGTACAACAGCGAAGTACACTAATATAATGCACATAATTAGTGTACTCTTATGCAGTATATTTAAAAAACTCGCTGGCATGCATATACATAGATATTGTGATAATAATTAGTATCGGTTGGTATCGTCATTGTTTCGATTATCACCGAACGGCGGGTAATGTACTATAATAATATACACAGTACACAATAATATACGTACCTTGTACACAACTAATATAATATCATGTAATTTGTGTGCTCCTATACTCAGTGGGTATACACGTATATAATACACACATGGAAATAAAAAAACAAGAACCATTTAAATAACTGTCGGCGGCCGAGGCGGCGGCGGCGGCGGTACAGACGTAAAAATCTGCGTGAATGGCGCGCGCTCGTATCGTTTATATAATACACGGACAAGTAGCCAAGTAGAAGCCGAGTACTTTTGAAAAGTGAAGTGAATTTATGTAGGAATTATTCGCAGATACTCGTGGCGGCGGCGGCCTCAAGTATGCACGGCGGCGGCTGCGGATCCCGTTCGTTCGGTCAAAAGAGTTAGTCTTTAAACCGTTATCCAAAAGCCGCGTAGAGTGCACTCGGTTCGCGAGCACTTTTAAAAACACCTCTTCAACTTTATTTCCACTTCGTTCCCATTCACTGTCAATATTAATGTTGGTCATCTTTTGACTTTCAACAGCAACTTATATAAATGCTCAGTTGGATTCGTTTCTATTTATGTAGGTACTTTCCGCCTCGCTTTTGACAATGAAATATTGTAAATATTGCAGTGATAATAACAATTATGTATATCCATCTATTAATATTAACTGAAACCGCAGGAAATTCGAACCAACCGATCAGGCGATAATGTATAGGTATACGATCGCGTGCACCGCATATATTTAGCTTTATATAAGGGACATACAGTTCATAAATTACCCTAACATGCATGTACAAATTTGTTCAATTGTATACAGTTGTAGGGAACTTTAAATTGTTTTTTTAACAATTGGTATGTATATATTATACATTAGATATTTGTGTTGAGAGAGTTTTTGATTGTAGTTCATGTCTTTCGAATACTATACTTGATTGTCTGCAGACACACTAGCCATCTATATAATAATAAAATATGCATAAATTATACTATGCGCTTTTTATACGCACTTAAATAAATATGTGGTGGTATGTTATAGGTGAAAATATGGTTCCAGAACCATAGATACAAGTGTAAACGTCAGGCGAAAGAAAAAGCTATGGCCGAACAGAATGCCCAAAATCAGGTAAGATATTTTAAAAAAGAACATATTTTAATTTATTATTAAATTATTAATTTTAAGTATATTCTGCAAATTATATAAATAATAGTAACTAGATATTATTTATCAATTTAATTTTTACTTCAATCAAACCTACGAAAATGTCAAGTTTAAAGTACTCAAGTATAGTGCTAAGTACACATACTGAATACTAAGAGCACAAGATAAAGTTTTTTGTTTATATAGAAAAAAAGTATTTACAAAAATAAATTTTTTTATTTTAAATAATTCAAGTATAATTATTATATTCATAGTATATATATTCTATTGTGCATGATGGGTGTTTATTAACATATATATATAACTCAGAAAAAATCTTTGAATGAGCCGATTGTAATGTATAATAACGCACGTTAAGTCTTATTTAGTTTACTTTTATTCACAGGCCCAGAGTTCACCACGAAGAGTGGCCGTGCCCGTTTTAGTGAAAGACGGCAAACCGTGTTCGGGTACGTCAGACACGTCCGGCCAACAGCCTGCGCCCGGCGGCAACAATTGCAACGGCCACTGCCCCGCTATGCACCACGGTGGCCACGTACCAGTCCCCGTCCACCCCCATCACCACGGTCACCATCACCATCACGGGTCGCCCAACGTCGGGCACCACCAGCAACAGCACCAACCACCGCAACACCAGTTGCTGACCAACACCGCGATGCCGTACCCAAGACAGAACGTTGGTCAGCACCACCATCAACAGCAAAACATGTCATATTTATCCATTCAAGGACGTGCGTGGTGAGCTGTGGCCCGTTAATAATTACCTATATTATTAATAGGCAAGCATTACTTAGTGTAGACTTTCAAAAAAATAATTTCATATCGTTTTGTTTCAATGCGAATTTTTTTATGTAAAGATATTATAATTTATAATACATACGCACGCGCGCACACATAGAAAAATTATGCTTGTTTTTAAGTATTTAGACAATTTTAAGCATAACAATTTTGAACAAACGCAATTATATAGTGAGATATTAGAAAAAATTCATATATTATACGCGTATATATAGATACCTCTTTTTAAGCTCGTTACGTATAATCATGTGTACACATTTTTAAATTAAATTTTATCTTGGACTCTCTAAGTCAATTAAATTTTGTTTGTACTAGGTATGTGTATTAGTAATTTTTTTTTATGTTTTATAAATCTGAACGTTCTACCTCCAAGCCACGTATATACTTATCGATGTATGAAGTATTTTGAAACTTTCGTAATAATTATTGTAAATCACAAAAAATTAACTCTAAATCTAAGACACTCGACTTGTTTTTTTTGTTGTATCATTCAAGTCATAAATATAGGAATTTTTAGAAGTTTAAAAAAATGGGGTCATTATTATTAGTTGACCTTGGCACGTAGAAAAAATAAAATCCAACCGACGTTTTTATTCGACAAGGGGTACAGAAAGGTTTGCTATCCCTGACATATGCCATACACAAGTTCTTAAATTTTCTATAATATTTAGCAGGATATAATATTCAATATAACCTTATTGAAAAAATTCAATATTATTTAATAGAAAATGGTACCTATAGGTATCAATTTGTCAGTCATATTCAGCCTCTTATGTTTGTGAGAATGAACCTATATATTAATTTGATGGTCCGTGATAGTTTCACTTTGATTTTTTTTTATAGGTACATAAAATAATTTATCTATTTGTTTATTAAGAAGTTTTAAGTATATGTAATATATGTATCTATGCTTGTGTATAAACCTCTATTTTCAAAGCACTATAAATACCATTCTTAGTTGTATATTTGTATATAATTATTAATAATATATAGTTAAGAATTTTGTAAGTAGGTTCTAATATTACATAAAGAAAATAGACTGTTGAATACACCTATAAAAACACCTAACCTATCTACCTGAAGTGTTATTTAAACAATTCTTGTGTAAATTTACAATCGCTAAAGAGATGGTTGAATTGAAATGGGTGCAAAACATTTTATCAACTATATATTATAGTCTCAATAATTGTATAATGTATATTTATATATGTATACTTATAGGTATCTATACTAAGTCAAAGTATAATATTAAAATATTTTCAATGTATAAACTGTTGAGTACTAATCATCAAACGAAATACGAATCATATTCAAAGCTAAGAATCCGTGTTAATGATGACCTATACCTTTATTATATATATATACTATATAGTATATATACCTATATTGCAATATGTATACTTATTTTAGGGTGGGTATAATATATATTTACATTTATATAAGCTTATATTACTATATTATACGAGCGTTGATTGATTGAAATTTCATCATCAAAATTCAAAGGAACATGTCTTTTCTTTTTCTTTTATTTTTTTTTAGTAGGAAACAGGCAATTGTCTAAAATTAAATTATCAAAATAATATAGGTACATATATGTTATATATATATATATAGTATATCGGTATATCATAGAAGTGTATTGAAATGTATGTTACAATTTATGTTTACCTCTCCTCTTTAATATAATATTGTATATGTTATGTTCATTTGACGTTATATAAACATAATATTCTATTATACACGCTCGCATTGGCTTGCAATGAGTATTTCTCATATTGATTACATTGTTTAAAATTTTAATAGGCCCGAATATATACATATAAGTAAGCTGTTTGTATTAAGTGGAAATATCTTTTGCACGACCCCATTAATTACTATATATAATATACATTGCGCTGTAATTATACTTTGTAAAAATTACTTAACTTCTGTATAATTATTACTATTATTTTTTTTTTTTTTTGTAAAATGTGATGTATCATAATATATCTACGTGATTGTATACGAAATAAACAAAAAATATGAAAATAGTAAACGTACCTATACATACATATATACAATAAACGATGCGTATAATGTGATATGATTTGGTCCTTTATGAATATAATCGCGATTTTCCCGCAGCCGTCGTTCAAATATATACATCATATATCTACATGCACAGCGTCGAGTTGTGCAGCGACGAGCAAGAAAATCGTTTACGTCTTGTGTGTTCTGCGCATATCCTTAAGTCGGAAGCAAGCAATACCTGTATAATAATATATACATACATATATATATATATACGTATACATACGTCATACACACGTATATATAATGGATGTATGTATAGAGTCGTTAATGAGTAAACAGTAGCGTTATGCGGCACTGGGTATACCTATACAAATATATAATAATATGTATATAATAAAACACAAGAGAACCGCATATACGGCCAACGAAAATAGGCGGAACCACGACCGGCGGAGGACCGCGCCCCCGACGCCATGACAGTGCCCTCTATATAGTATATTATTTTATTATGTGTGTGTGTATTATTATTATTATTATTATTATTATTATTATTATTATTATTATTATTACGGCGCTGCACGCTCCCGGAACCCGGACGATCGTTTTGACGCACGCTGGAGGGGAAACACGATTTAATAAGGCACAAAATGTGTGTACAATAAAAAACCGATCGACCCCAACAATCGCCGGTGGCAAAAAAAATAAAAAAATGTTCATACCATATATATATATATATATACTGCATATACGAGAGCCCGCGCTTTGATTTGAATCCAATTATTATTGGGTAGCTAAAATATTATATAATAAAGGTCCTGGCAAAAAAGGACAAACATATGCAAATAAAAAAATAAAAAATGTTTGCTTTTTTCGAATTATCGTAATAATATGCAGTGTATATATAGGTAATCACGGACAAAAAAGCAAATTTGAAAACTTTTTAAAATTGACAATATACACATATAGCTCTATTTATGTACTAAACATATTAAGTTTATAATGTTGAATGAATTGAATTGATTATGCAATTATTATTATACATTTTACGGTACGTATGTATACTGGGTGATGCATGAGTGAACACTCATGTGACACACATAATGAATTCCTTAAGTAAAATGTATCACTTTGTATATCCACTTGTGTTAACCTTTTTATTTTTATATTCATGCAAGATCAAAACTAAATTATATATACATTATGTAATGAAGAAAATAAACAATTTTCTTTTATCATCCAGCGAGTGTTTCCGTTAAATAAAAATAATAAATAGTGCCTATACTTAATAATACGCGTTTAATGTGGCAGATATTTTAATTTGAATACCTATAAATAATTATAAGGTATACAGAGGAAAATGTTGAAGAAATTCTAATTAACACTTCACACGTTATACCTATAGTCTATAATAATTTATATTCTCCAAATTGATGTAGGTAAGTAATAAGTTAATATACAAAAATGTAAGTATTGCATTTTTATTTTCTGCAGTATATTATATATACCATGCAGATACCTATATGAATTATAAGCGTATTACTTATATTATATTTTAATTACAATTTTTATATTAGGTAGATTATGCATTATATTATTATAATAAATTACTGGGGGCCATTTGGTATTTTAATACGAATATTTATATACCATATTTATGGCTATGAGTATGTGTATACCTGCCTATTATAGGATATAATTAACTATATATTTATATATATATATATATATATATATACAAATTTAATTACCTACCTAATTGGTGTTTAATGCCCATAAGTAAAGAGTAAATAATAAAATCATTTCACAGCCGGTGAATAATAATAAACTATGTGGTAATACCTACCTACTGCAAGAACAACAAATATTTTATTAACTAATTTTAAATTAATAAAAAAAAGTGATGATGTTGATATATAAACCTATTAATGATTTATGTTCAAACTTTAAGCGATAAAGTTTTTACACACACTTGGTTTATATTTCGAGATTAATTATAATATGTGAAAGCTCAACAACATTTTATGTGAATCACGGCGTATTTAACATATTTATGTTATATATCTATAATACCTATAGTCAATTACTTTATGAGAAGGAAAATAAAGGATTACGTAAATAGGTTATATCGATTAGTATAATTAATGCCATTATATATTTTTACTGGAAGCTCTTCACAGAAAAATAATTATTGATAAATTATAATTAACAGAATTAATAATAATAATGAAAAAAAATACATCAACACTCAAACCGCTGCTATAACGAGTTCGACTTATTGAATTAAAGATGACTATATATATACTATAGTGTATTGAACTAATTTATATACTTTCAAAAAAACAATTAAATTAGAATTCAAAGTTGATCGAATAATTCATATTATTACCTACATAAATCACGAAAAATCTACGAGGCGCAATGTCTATAATAAATATAAACTGTTAATGCCCATGTAAAAACAAATTATAAAATCATATGCTTACACAAAATAATCTACGTTAACCATTATTGATGACAAAATCCCCGATCAATAACTCTCCTTGGCAGTCTTAAATATTGGTATTATTTATTGAAAACGTAGGGTGACCTGATTATAAAATTATGTACTCGTTTGAAGTTACCCTCCCCCATAGTAAAATCTACTCAAACAAATTGTAAATTATAGCACTTCAAAATAATTGTTATTCCATTCCCGGGATTTTTAAGACCTAACAATTTAAATTTAACTTACAATTTGAGTACACGTGATTGTTTTTTTTATTACTATTATATGTCTATCATCAGTCATCATTTTTTGGAGCAGTAAAAATATGTTGACCTTCATCTTCTAGTTTAGTTCCTTGGTTTAGACCTATAGTTGGTACTTTAGGGTGTCAAAAATAGAAAATTCTAATAACTTATTCAATTATTGTCAAAATCATGAATATTTGAATACCTGAAAATTGAATACAGTCGTTGCTTATTATAGGTGGTTTCTACCATCATTAAATATATCAAAAATGAAAATGCACAATTTTTTATATAGGCTTATTAAACTCAAATTTCAATGGATTTAGTATACTAAAACTAAAAATAATATTTTTTGTAGAACTTGACAATTTTTGCCATTACGTATACGGGTATACGCATCATGTACACAATTATATTGAAAAAATATTATTGCAACCTACAGTATTACTAATAGAAAAATATTAATGTAAAGTATTTTAAGGATTATATATTCAAATCATTGATTAAAAACATAAATACTAAAACTAAATTAATATATTGAAATTGTACTGAAATTAATACCTAGGAAAATTTTCTCGGCGTATTTACTCTTCTTATATATGCCTATATCTATATAGGACTCATAGGACCTTATAGGTATTATATAGTTTAAGTCAGCCGTTAGGCATTGGATAACTTTAATGAACTTTTTATCAATTTGTGAATCATTCAAGTTTATTGCGATCACCTTACTTCAAATTTTTGGTCACCTAACTTTTTTTCTCCACCCTTTATCATTTTTATTGGGCACACTGGAGAAATAGTTCGAATCGTGTAATTGTAATGCTTTTTATTTTTGAGGGTTAACTCGTTTCAATACGCAGCTTAATTATTTAATAATTTCGTGCCCATAACATTCAAACTTCAAAAAAGTTAAACAATTTGCTGTAATTATCCTTTTATTTATATCGAAAATCATTGTAGTGTTTCACTTCCTCCCTTCAAAACTTACAAGTATATGGATACATAACTATACATATAAATGAAATACATATCTATGTAATATCTGTGCCTAATGATTTTACTATTTTTTTTTTGTGTCAACAATTTAAAAATAATTATGCACACATAAATTATTAACACACATATATAACAATTAATTTAAATGGTTATAACTGTATACTTTTTTGTTTTATGTACTCATATGACATTAATAATCAATCACTTTTTTTAGTTTAATATACACAACACAAAAATAACAACATCATATCCGAGCTTAATATTTTAAACCGTTTGCTCGGCTTAAACATTACATTTATATTGAGTGGAGAGCATTTTTGAATTTGGAAAACTAATATGCATACATTTTGACTAGATATAGTTGCATACCTACAACAACAGTTTAATCTCCTCGTATACCTGCAGTTTGATTATAATATTGTATTTGTCATAATGCCGCAGTAAGTGCACATAAACAATTCAAACCGTAGGTATACACATGACAGACTTTTTTTTTTTTAAATCACGAAATTCGAAATCAAATGGTATACCTAAGCAAAAACTATTGGAGCGATTCGAGTCAAATGACCGTTACGCGATTTATCGTAAAATCGCATATTATGCATACGACAATACGGTGGGTATACCTACTACCTATATATATATTATATATATATATATATGTGCGTCGGAATTTTGGCAAGTCACGTGAAATACTTTCGCACAGGTCCTCGGCGTTCCCCCGCGGTGGTGCAATCGCCGCGGCCACCACCGCCACCGCCGCCGCAGTCGTCGTCGGCGGCGACGTGCTCGCTGGCCCGGACGCGGTACACATAACGCGCGGCACAGGCTCGCGCCCGGCGGTGGTCCGCCTCTGTACGCGTACGGTGGTGCGCGGGTTCCGAGCCGCCCCATTGTTTCGTCGTGTGAGTCCCACGGCCGCGTTACCAGACCACCGCGAAATCACTGAACACGCATTAAACATATTATACCACAGGTAAGTTAACTCGGAAGTGGGCATTATGCGTACAATAATAATAATAATAATACATATACATACCTATACACGCGTATATGGGTATACTATATTATATACGTATATTATTGTCGTGTTCTTCCC